TCGGCAAACCCTCTTGTGTGCCTCGCTTAATGGTCTGTGCATATACTGCTTTATTGTTGTTGTTTTTACTTTGCGTTCCACATATGCCAACTCGTTCTCAAGATGTTATTTTTTGTCGGCTTGCCATGCCTACTAAGAAGTTGCCAGTGGTCCTACTACAACCAGAGAACGTTAATTATATGATATACATTCTCTGGTTTTATTAGTTTGTTGCTTTATTTTATATCTTTTGGAGTTGAGCATACATTTTGGCTGGAATTGAATTTTTTTTACATTTATAAAGCAGTTTTTGGCAACCGAAATTTCTTTGGACTTACTCGGTCGAAAGTGCAAAATATATTAAAACAGCTTTGAAAAATTCCGAGATTTCTTTATGTCTGTTAAAAAATTATATTTTGTATGGTGAACGTGGTCAAAGAATGTTTTTTTGACTTTAGAAACTCTAAAGTATTCATCATTTGTAGCGTTCACTCATAGCTCTGCCATCTTTATTCCCTACAGTCGGTTTTCCGGAACCGGCTTGTTGGTGAGCCATTGATTGTCAACTTATCAGCATCCAATGCAAATATTTCGATCGCTACAAAAATACATATGTTTAAATTATTATATGATTTCATTTATGGCAAGAGAAACATTTACCGCTGCGACACCTCTTTCATAATATGTTTAAAATACTTCTTTAAGTTCAATTTTCTGATTATTGCAAAGAGCCTGTAGAACAAATTTACGGTGAGTAAGTCCAAGGATACATTTCAGATTATGCATAACTCTTCCAAAACGCATAGTTATAGACAAATCTGTGTGATGCCTGCAGATCGCAAGGAAATGTTGTACGTATAAACTGGAGCCTAAATAATTTCTTCAGTTGTATTTGATGCATCGGTTAACAATTTCTGTGATCTAGTATCTTTGTCTCCTTGCTTCCAGAACCATATTTATATATATTTCTGATTTGCCGGATTTAAAATCATGTAACAGAAAACAACTTCGTCGTTATACTGGATCATTCTACTTAAAATTGTCCCTATAAACGAGCTATGGTTTTATTACCTATTTTGTTAAAAAGATGTAATGTATTACGGCTGTCTCTTATACACATCTAGATGTGTATAAGAGACAGCCCTATAAACGAGCTATGGTTTTATTACCTATTTTGTTAAAAAGATGTAATGTATTACGGTAAGCCGGGATTTTTCAATTGTCATATCTCCAAGATGTGAGTCTTTCATTGTACCATAGACGATGTAAACCAACGATGTCCAAGTCGATGAGCAATTGCTCATTAGTTCTAGTTCTTCTAAGATGCATAGTGCTCTTGAATGCTGCCCGTGCGAATAATTCACCTTTCAGTTGAAAAACAGCGAAATCTAGCGATATTGGTAAGATATTTTGATTTTCATTAACTTTATACTGATTCATTTAGACTATAATGGCCATCTTCTTTATTTGAAAATTCGTAATCGATTATTGGTTATTATATGACATTTAATAATATGTACAATATTAATACTTAATAATAATATAGTAATATAATTTACAAGTAAATATATCTATTTAAAAAAAATCACAGATTTTTAATTATCGCAGCATATTTTTCTCTATCTCTCGCCACATCTATAAGGTTGCCAACGTTCTGGATTCCTGTCCATTGTCGAATGTTTCAATGTCACGAAAGTTGTTTATGGCCAATATCCCGTTTTCCTTAAGTTTTCCTTGGATAACTATTTTTATTAGCTCATATTTAGAGTGCGTCATAATATGTCTTAGGTATGCTGCTTTTCTTTGCTTTATAGTCTTTAACAACTCTCTATCACGGTTCAGTCTTCTCTTCTGGTTGTAGCTCTACTGTCCATGGAATTTTTAGGATTCTTCTCATAAACTATAACATCTAACCTGTTCATATCTGTGATTTTTAGAGTCCACATTTCCATCGGATAGAGAAGCACTGATCAAACATAGCATTTTAAAAAACATATTTTGGTTGTGACGTTGAGGTCATGGCTACATAATAGATTTCTGTATTTGAGAAAAGTTGCTTGAGCAAATTCGATTCGACATTTTATTTCTTTTGAACAATCCAACTATCATTGATCTGACAACTAAGGTACTTGAAATTTTTAGCTCTTTCGATTGGATTATTATAAATCATGAGGTGTGTGTCATTGTATATGTTTTTTCTATTAATAATAATAAATGGAAAGTATAATGTAAAAATTGTAATTTTTCCATTTCTTGGCAATCATTGTATATCCATTTTGTTTTTGAATTACGGATCATCTTCCCTTATTTTTATTATTTTCTTTCTTTTCTAGTCCAAGAGTTGACTGACAAAGTGCATTGGCGGCATGTGCAAGCAAAACAAAATTCTGCGGATCAAGTATCTCGGGGTTGTAACCTGGACGAATTAAATAATTCGATATGATTTGGCGGTCCACAGTTCCTCCTAGAAGACTCTGCATTATGGCCAATTAATAACCACTTCCAGCTCTCACCAGAAGACGAAGCATTAGAGAAGAAGAAAAATGCATTTACATTAATTTCGACCACTGAGAAAAATCCAATATTGGAAATCATTGAAAATTCTCTTCTCATAGAAAATTGCTTCGTGTGGTCGCATATTTACTACGATGGATCAGACGACCAAAAATGCCTACGGAGGGTAGGGATCTGACATCTAACGAATTACACTTGAGTTTCTTGAAAATTGTTCAAGTGATTCAACATTCGGAATTTGCGAATGAAATCCAATTCCATTCAAATTAATCCGAGTAGGGGGTCGCCTTTTAAATGCACCTCTCCCATACGATGAAAAATTTCCACTATTGCTATATAAAAATTCGGACTTGGGTACGACTTACTTACGATTCCTGCACTTTCGAAACATAAGAAACTGCACACACTGCTTTCATTACAAGCCGAAGCCGCAGACCCAAATAATGGGAAACATGCCAGTTGAAAGACTTCGAGCGCTACGACCCTTTCTCATATGTGGCGTAGATTCTTGTGGTCCAATTTATACTACATTAAAAATACGCGGTCGACCACCCGTAAAAMCCTATATCGCAGTTTTCGTTTGTTTCACGTCTAAAGCAGTACACTTAGAATTAGTTTCTGACTTATCGACTCATACATTTACATTTCCCTAAAAAGGTTCATTGTTCGCCGAGGGATACAGCGACATCGCAACCAATTTCGTCGGCGCCGACCGCAAGCTGCGAGAGCTAAAAGAGGCATTTCTAGCTCAGTCAACGAAGTGAAGAGATTCGCCGCAGAAGGAGGATTCAGCTTCACCTTTATATAACCCAGGGCGCCGCACTTCGGCGGATTACGAGAGGCGGCGGTGAAATCCGCCAAACACCGCAGAAGAGCTGTCAATAGTACTAGCCGAAGTGGAAGCCATTCTCACTCCACGACGGAGAAGCTCAAACTCCAGCAAATCTGCTGATCGGTTGCCCTCTACGAGCACTGCCACCAGCACAAGTGCCAGCGGACATACATAATTCGTTGTTGCGAGAGTTGGCAACTTGTTTGCTGTCTCACGAAACAATTTTGGCAGCAGTGGTCCAAAACGTATCTAAGCAGCTTTCAGGAGCACAACAAATAGCTGCATCCGGAGCGGAATCTGCAGGCCGGCGACCTCGTCCTCGTACACGAAGACAACACCATAGAAGGGCAAGACGACAAGGTGCGAGTGGCAGACGTGGCAACGAAAGCAGGCACAATCAAGGGGACTACTCATAAGCTCGCCCTGCTACCCATCAACGTTGAATTATCATGATTATGTCAATATTGCCGGTGTTACATCAAGCGACATCCTTTAAACATAAATATTAATTTTTTTTAATATTATATTAAAGTAACATAAATGAATTAATTTTATATTAAATATTGAATTAAAATGTTAAAATTTATTTTATATAAAGTACTCACCCTAATAATGTTGTTTTATATACTCACCATAATTGTCTAACATAATGTAAAGAAAAGAATTCTACTTACCCCTTTTTTGTAAATACATACTTACGCGTCCCGTTAGTTTAAGATGTTCGGTTAAGGTTTAGGCTAAGTCCTAAAATTCGTGGAATAAAGAATTCCATTATGTAAGAAGAACATTCGCGAGCGGTCGTTTTTCTAATATTTTTCGGTACAGGAAATTTTTCACGCATTCCCAATTAACTAACTTGACTCAAAAATCTTTGAGATTTTGCAGTATTAGTGGTAAGTTGAACAGTGGGCTAGTCATTGTTTTTGAAATCCCAAGAAACTTGGCAAAACGTTTGATGGTATGTGAACGAATCTATCCACTTTCCGCGGAATAAGAATATGGTCTAGTTTGAAACTTTTGACCCATAGCTTTTTGATGATTTTTGACTTATTTTGCAATTATTACTTCTAACATAACGAAACATTTTACAGACAAATTTTTCCTACCGGCCATTAAGAGAAAATATTTAAGAGAAAATTGTGTAAGTGGAAGACAAAAACCAACAAAGTAAAAGTAGTGTTAAAATTAAGTGACAAGCAAATATAATATAAAACTCAGCTGTACGACACTGAACGACAAGTTGACGAGCGGGCAAATAGTTAAAAAAGAGCTAGGCATTGGCAGATGTTAAGTAGATTACTTCTGTTGTCACAAGAGGCCTGTAAGACGTAGACGAAAGTTGGAGTAACCAAAAAGAAAAGAACAAAATATAGAGGAATAAGCGCCTGGAAGCTAGCGTCAGTGGCAGATGGGAAATTTAAGGCAATGTGTGGCGTTATTTTTATTTTTTTTTTTTGGGAATTTTGAGTAGGGGGATTTTTCAAATATGCGATTCGATGTAATAATTCATGTAGTAAATTTTTAACTCAATCAGAGTGTGCCAACCAGTGCCACAATGAAGTCAAAGTTCGAAATATAGAAAAACACTTGGTTTTTTTACTGTTATCTGTTCATTTATTAAAGAAAAAAAAAATTACGCAATTTTTCCACAATTTGCATTTCAATTATTAATATATGTCTCAAGAATATTACAAAAGCGAAGTTTTAGTATACGAAGGGAACTTTTGCCTGTAGTTCTCGACAATATGAAGCAAGTATTGTTCATCTTCTTCGCTATGAGTTAAAGACGGGTTAAAATCTGTTATTAGTTTTACTTTCCTCTCAGCAGAATCATTAACAACAGTGACGTTTTTGAGGATTTGAACACCTTTTAAATATTCTGCATTTTCGCACCAGTTTGAGGGATCTAAGTTGAAAAAGTTTACGTCTATTTCCAATCGTAAAAAGATATTTCTAGTTCTTTGCGTTACAAAACAATTTAAATCTTTACTTATGAATGTTTTCATTTCTTCAATGCTGGCATTTACATTTTTATGCAAATAAACGCCATTGTCATTGCTTTCAAACTCTTTTTCTAATGCTAGTACTTCAACCATCTTTCTTTTCACATTTAAGTCCACATTAGAATCGAAAAAGGCGAGACCAACGGCTTCCTCGGCCAGATACCATAAGTGGTTCTTCATTTTATATAATAAGGCTAGAGATATTTTTGGGTCGTAATAACCGGCAATGTTTTTTACCAGCTGCAAATCCAAATTTGGTGCTTCGACTGCATTAGTAGTTCGAAACCAATACGGAATATAAAGACGCAGCAGGAAAATACACACATTGCGGAATCCATTCAAATGGCTGGAAATCATTGTAAATTGTTTTTGCAAAGCAAAAATTTTTAAGGCATATATCGCTTTTGACATAAACCTGGCATGTGACGTCGCGCCAGGTGCACGAAAGGAAAAGTTCGGGATGCTGCCACCTAAGAAAAGAAACATGAGTTGCAATAGCTCTTTGTAATCATGGCGAATGTGGTCTTTTGCTATACTTTTGATGCAAAATTCTTTATTGGCTTCACATTCCTCTGCATTTATATCACGTTGCACTTCTTCATCTATGATTCCAATTGAAAGATCTTTTAAATTGAAAGTGTTCCATTCCCGCGAAAAACGTTCAAATATGGCAACTTCCGGGTCACAAGATTTTCCAAAATATATTTCAAATACACCTCGTAATATGATTTCTGCAATATGATGCCTGCATGGCAACTACAACAAGCTACTTTTCAATTTTTGTTCCAGCACCGTTACGTTTACCTGTCGTGTCAAAACATACCATTTCCACCGAATTTATCATATTAATTTTTTCTAAGTAATTATATATGGACTGGGCGATTGCTTCACCAGTTCCACATTCAATAATTGGTATGGAAATTAATTTTTCTATATTATCTGCCATTAAAGCAATAGCTAAGCGTTCTACTTTTTCCTTTCCAGTCATTGCAGGACGTAGTTTACCGTCCCAGTGTAACACAAATGTATCAGGGATCTGAAAAATTTGCGCTCTGAGAAGTATTCATAACAAATCCAAAATTAACTTTTATACCTTGAAATTCTCAATAATTTCTGTACCAAGACGCCGACGATATTCCTTGTGCTGTTTTCTCAAACTTGTACAATTAATAACCAGATCTTCAATATTGTGACCCAAAGCTTTAGCTGTTGCAATAATAAAATGAATTGCGAGTGGTGTTGACATATCGCCAGCATCCATGCAAGCAAGCATTGTATCATCTATGAAGCTTTTTTTACCACGTTTTTTTTTCAGCTCGTTGGTGTTTGATACGATCATCAACTGCTCTACAGATTTTTCAGACTCACATTTACTCTCATCACTTACATCATAGTCTACACTCAACTCTAAAAAAAATTAGTTGAAAGAGAAACTTACATATTATTTGTTTCAGCAGAATTAAATAAATACCTTGGGTGCTTTCCAATCTTTGATACTTTGCTCTGCGTCGATTTTCTTCTTCTAACCTTTGCGCCTTCCGTTTTTCTTTATTTGCGAGACATCTATCTATAGAAATCATGCTCCCAACACGACCTGGCTCTCTTTGTCTAATTAAAAAGTCTGGGTCCTCAGGAATAGCTATCATTTCTAAAGCATCAGCATGTGCAATATCGAATAAATTGTTCAAATTATCATTGAAATCATTTTCTTTTTACGAGAACTAGGAAACGAAGATGTACAAGATTTCTGTACTGCTCTCCACTCATCATATAATTTCACCAATTTATCATCACATGTTCTTTTGTTTAACGTTGGAATACGTGCTCTTTCCCAAAAAGGCAATATTTCCTTTGAAGCGAATTTAGCATTTTCCTTAATTGTTTTCTTTACACACCGCACATAGTAAAAAACATTTCAACCCTTATTGTTTTGACGGTAACTTGCTTCCAAGCATATTTTTTTCACATTTTCCTATCAAATATACGTTTGTGTCAGCAGATCTAAGTGTAACAAAATTATTTACAGCCGTCACGATATTGCAGTATAACTTTTACAATTTTCAATTATTTTAATAAAGACCCTTTCTTAACCACAGTCAATTTCGCAATGACAAAATATTAAAATCTCTATTTGCACGTCTCAGTCTATCTAATTATCAACATTGGCGTATGTGAACCGTAATGTATGAATTTACCTTTAGGCGGGCCACTGACTACATTATCTGCGCAAATTCTAGTAATTTGTTGTTGTGAACTCAGTGAACGAAATTCCACTCAATTCCAACAACAGCCTTGTGCAGATAATTTGTGTAGTCAGTGGCCCGCCTTAGTTCAATGGAATTTTTACTAATTTACTCTTTTCTAATATTTATAAGTTTTCTTATCATTATTGGACATATAGAAAACATATAAAAAAAATTACTGTGCAAAATATTGAGGAAAAATGAGGTCATTACATTCTATATACATATAATAAATAAACAGATAACAGTAAAAAAAAACCAAGTGTTTTTCTATATTTTGACCTTTGATCTCATTATGGCACAGGTTGGCACCCTCTCATCGAGTTAAAAATTTGCCATTTAATTATTACATCGAATCACATATTTGACCAATTCCCGTACTCAAAATTCCAAAAAACAAAAAAAAAAAAATTTTCATATAAGCTGTACCAGGTCTAGTGTATATGCTTGAGGGTGCGAATACGCAATGATATTGTTGCCAAACAGTATCTGCGTATGCAAACAAATGTGGCAGCTAACGAAAAAAGAGTATATAGGCGCCTACACGACATGCACGACAAAACGCTCAGCAATGAATAACAAAATAAATGAAAGCACGTGTAAGGTTAAAAAACAGACAGCACCAAAAGCAAAAACAACAAAAGAGTATAAAATCACAGTAACAACAAAAACCGAAACAATTAAATCAACAACTGAGGTTTTCTGTTGCTGTTAATACCAGAGAGCGCAGTGCGAAATAGGTACGCACTTTTCAGTTGCTGTGCGTGTGTACGAACAAAATGAAAAATCCTTTACACTTGTGACACTGCGCCCTTTTATCAGCGACCAAAACAAGTTGCGTCAAGTACTAGATGAAGCTTGTTTGAAGCGCTTGCAACTTTGAATATATGTTTATATGTTAGAGTAAACTTTCTGTTATGGAAAATCTTTTCAGCAGATATTTCCAAAGCCTAAAAGTTAGTTAATAAGAAATAGTAGAACAGAAAATATACATTTGCTGATACTAAAAATAAAAATAACCTTAAACTCCTTAATTTAAATTATTATTTTTATCCAATATTCTTTATTATAATATTTTTGACTATTTT